CGCGATCCAGCCCTGACCTGTGCTGCTGCCCTCCAGGAGCTGGGTCTAGCCCCTGACATGTTCTTCTGCCTCTGCCTCCTGGAGGAGACTGGCATCTGCGTGGTACCCGGAAGCGGGTTTGGGCAGCGAGAGGGAACCTACCACTTCCGGTGAGGCGAGGCCCCACCTGTGCATGGTGATGGGGTGGAGGATAACGACACAGCCTCTTCCACTGAGGCCTCAACCACTTCCACTGAGGCCACGCCTGCCTCCCCTCCTCTGCTGACCATCTGCCCCTTTCAGGATGACCATTCTGCCCCCTATGGAAAAGCTGCGGCCGCTGCTGGAGAAGCTGAGCTGGTTCCACACTAAGTTCACACGCGAGTACTCCTGAGGCTCCCAGCTGAGCCCCGATGGGCTGCAGCCAGGGTGCTGGATCTCCGGAGCCCTCTGGACTCCGGCTGGGCCTTGCCTTTGCAGTTCTTAATAAAGCCGGTGGCAGTGTGAGCCTTGGGGCCTGGTGTGACTGTGGCTTGGTGTAGGCCTGACTCAGCCGAATGGACATAGCCCTGCCTCTGGGAGGCATGGCCAAGCAGGGCTCCCTAGGAGATGCCTTTCTGACTTGCGTCCACCTATTCCCCCTGCAGACATGGGCCTCCGGTCAGCTTAGGGTCTCCACAGCAGTCTCGGAGCTTGGGGCCGAGACAGGCTGACACACGTCACGTGTACATTAGACCACAGGAAGCATGAGGACGCACCTCCGTGGGGACTGCAGGCCTGGAGCTGGGAGCAGTGGGGTCGCCTGCCTGTGTCGCTGTCCTGGAGCAGGACAGAGGGGAGAGGGAGGCAGGCCAGTGCCCTGCCTGCTTGCTGGGCAGGACCTGCTGTGGGTTACCCAGCCTGTGTGCCCACCATCCGAGGCAACTGCAATGGCCCCCATTTTACAGAGGAGCCTCAGGCTGAGAACACACTGTAGGTTGAATTCAGCAGCACAGGAAACATGCTGGCCCTGGTGCCTACAACTTGCTCCAGGCCTGGGCAGGCTCTGGGGCTTGGAACTGGGGACGGCCAGGGGAGGAGCCACTGCAGGGACAGGCACTGTCTGAGTCACCAGGCTCTCCTAGCCTTGCCATGGGCACTCCAGGGCCTCCAGGTCGCGGGTGGGCCTAAACCTTCCACACCAGTCCCCCTGCTGTGGCCTTCTGTGGCCACTGCGTTGGAAGAGGACTGAGGCCACATCACAGCGAAATGGTAAATGGCGCCCACAGTGGGACTGACCAGGCTGGCTCCTCCATGCGGCTGCTGGGGGGACGGGGCTGAGTGCTGTAGCAACCGGGCTCCAGGTCAGACGCCAGACTTCTGTAGGGGATCTGATAACCCTGGGAGGGACCAGGGCTGGCGACTGCAGAGACAAGAGGACAGGGCCTTGGACGCAGGTGGACTGCTGCGTGGAGGCCGGACCCTGCCGCTTTCCTCTGAGCCCTCCGGCCCACGAGGGACTTGAGTGTGCCCGCGCAACCTGACGAGGCCTGGCCAGGCGCCGCACCCAGGCTAACCGCCAGGGGGCGCCCGAGAGCCGACGCCCAGGGCTACTAGGGGTCCCGGTGGCGCAGGCAACCTTCCGGTGGCGCGGGACTAGGGGCTGCGGGGCTCCGCGAACGCGGCGTCCGCGCTCTGTCCGATCCGGGCTCCTCTTGGAGGTTCCGGGAGGGCCCCGCCCTACCCTTACCCGCGCGCGGCATGCTGGGAGCCACAGGTCGCCGGGTGTTTGGAGCAGCGCTCGCCCCTCCGAGGACATGCCGCTCCCCTTTGGACTAGGCCTCGGTTCTTCTGGGGTACCGATAACCTAAGACCCAAGGGCACGCGTCCGGACTCCCCCAGTTGAGTCTGAACACGCCTGCCCCCAGCCCCAAAGGCAAGCCGGGTGTGACCTCTGAGTCCCCGCTGATGGGCCCATACCTACCAGACCCCGTCCCGAACTTGCTCTCTGGGCCTTGAACCCAGCTTGAGCCGCCCAAAGCCGGGCCATGCACGGGAAGCTGCTGCCGCTGGCGGGCCTCTACCTGGTGCAGGGCCTGCCCTACGGGCTGCAGTCCGGCCTGCTGCCCGTGCTGCTGCGGGCCCAGGGCCTGTCCTTGACGCGAGTGGGGCTGGCCAAGGTGCTGTGTGCACCCTGGCTATTCAAGCTTGTGTGGGCGCCGCTGGTGGACACACGGGGCTCCCCGAGGGCCTGGCTGATACTCAGCACGGCAGCCCTGGGCCTGGCGTGCGGGCTGCTGGCGGCGCTGCCTCCTGGGGAAGCTGGCCAGGCTGGGCTGCCTGCCACCATGGTGGGGCTGCTGCTG